TATTTGGGGTCATTTTTTTTTATTTATTTATTAAATAGAATTATGATTACTAGCTCTCTTGCAGTAGGATTTCTATTCAACATAAAGCATTTTTGAATTTTATTTACTTTCTATCTCTGTGTGGAAGCCAATAATTTTTTAAAATTAAATTTAGTTTCATTAATTGAATGGATAATATATGAAGCTGTAAATTAACCTTTCAATTAAATTAAAATAACCAGGCAGGTTACTAGAGTAACTTACAGTTACTCTTCTAATAAATATACTAAATATACCCAAAGACTTGCAAAATTTAGCTATACAAATTTCACTATTTTTATCTTTTATGTTGTTTACACATAATGTAAGCTCCAAACTTAAATTTATTGTAGCAAAAAATTTTGAATAGAATATGGAAATCACGATACCATTTTCTTATATTTTTATTTTGTTAAAAACGATATCAAGAATAAACATTTTCCATAAATACACAAGGTGTTTTTTAGAATTTTTTTTTTTAGAAGCATATTTACTTTTTAGTTAATAACCTAATAGTTATTTAAATTTCTCTTTTTCAAATAATTCTACATTTAAAGTTTGAAATGAAAGAAAATCGGAAAAATTTAAAAGAATTCTAACTCACAATAACTTTCTTGCAGCCGCTTTAGTAATACACAGTTGCATAACGAGGGTCATTCCTCAAATATAAACATATATAAAGCTACAGTAAATCGGATTTAAAACAGTGCATGTGAGGTAGAAAGTTTAATTCGTAAATATTTTGAACAGTAATTTATTTGTTTTTCTTTAAAATGGTTTTAACATAGGCAACAATATATAAGAAACCAGTAAGTATTTCAAACTTTAAACCAAAAATTAAATTATAGATAATCAAATTAAAAAAACAGTTATTTTACTTTTGTTTATGGGAACCTTTTTTCTTAAAAAGTAATTTAATCATGTATATTCAATCTTAAGAAAATATAGTTAGATTTATCAGACCAAGTTTTCACTTAAATTGCAAAATATTTTGTATGAAAAAGTTGAATGAAAACATTAACTTAAAAACCATTTGAATAAAAAATATGATTATACTTTAACTTTTAATTGTGTGCTAGATCAAGAAACAATAAAGTATAAAATATGTGGTATATAATGCAGAATTAAACAAAATGCAGAATTAACAGAATTAAAATGCAGAATTAAACAAAAGCTTTAACAATCTATACAAACAATTTCTTGTTATTCAAGAAAATTTTTTTTTTTTTTTTTTTTACTTAATTTAGTTTTTAATGTAACTATAATTTAATACAATTTATAATATGCTTTACAAATATTACGAATTAAAATAAAAATTAGTGTAAACATGTAAATAATAATAGACATAAAAATAAAACAAATACTAAAATATAAGTTTAAAAAAAATAATTAATTGCAATCTTTTATTATAAATGATAAAAACCAGTCTGTTTAATTCAAAAAAATATCTATTAAATATGTTTCATAATAAAATATATTTCAAAAAATAAAATAAAAATCGTATTTGCTTACAATCACTTGGTAGCAAAATTGTATTTTATTGAAATCAATTAAATTTTATTGTTCTGCTCAATTTGTCCAATAAAAATCTAAAGAAATGCAATCAAACCTTTGTCACAAGAAATGTTAAATCTTATGATCTCGAAGAAAGGATTTAAGCTCAAAAAATGAAATTGGAAAAAAAAAAAAATACTACGTTTTTTGAAAAATACCATACCATGCAAAATGTTTTGTAAACTATTATAAATACATAAATATGTTTACTTTAGCAAACTTTTAGCAAATTAGTTTTAATGATAGCTAAAATTAAACCCATTTTCTTTAACTTATCAAGGAATATTATAATTTCTTTTATATAAATATGAATTTTATATAAATATAATAATGTATAATATTCTAAAAAATGTATTTTATTATAAATGATAAAAACCAGTCTGTTTGATTCAAAAAAATTTTAATGCTTTGGAAACATTAAAAAAATGAACCAGCTCAAAAAAATGACGTATTTTGTTAACTTTTTCTATTTTGTATAAAGAATAAAAAGTTTAAAAAATGAAGTTTATATTCACTACTGAAATTTATTAATAATTTTGAAACAACTAATTTAATTAAAAAATAAATGCACATAAATTATGGTTCAGTCAAAATGACAGATATATTTCATTTTTTCCAGATAAATGCCGGGCCTGTATAGGCCTTTTCATCCTTCATATATGGTAAAATCCCGCATATATAGGCTTTTTTTTATAAAATCTCGTATAGGCTTTTTACAGCCACCACCTCACTGATATATATATATATATATATATATATATATATATATATATATATATATATATATATATATATATATATGTATATATATATATATATATATATATATATATGTATATATATATATATATATATATATATATATATTTATATATATATATACATAAACATATATATATATATATATATATATATATATATATATATATATATATATATATATATATATATATATATATATATATATATATACATATATATACATATATATACATATATATATATATGAATATATATATATATATATACATATATATATATATATATATATATATACCTATATATACATATATATACATATATATACATATATATATATATATATATATATATATATTTATATATTTATATATTTTTAAAAATTTATATTTATTTATATTAATTCATATTTACTTATATTAATATATATATATATTTATATATATTTAAATATATTTATATATACTTATATATTTATATATATATATATATTTAAATATATTTATATATACTTATATATTTGTATATATACATATTTATATATTTTTAGGCTCAAACTAACTCAATAAATTAAAATTGCAACAAAAAGTAGTTTAACCTCCTTGTTCCTCACTAATGTATTTAAAAGAACCCCGAATTAAAAGTTAAGACATAAACATTACTTTTGAGAAAGGCCAAAAATAATCCTAAATTATAAAATAAACAAAATTAAGAATAAAGGAAATCAAAAACAAAAAATAATTTTTAAAAATAACTGATAAAAAAAAATTACTTGCCAAATTATGATAGACTATTGCAATACCCTTCTTTTTTCAGCCCTGTATGTATCAATGGTTGGTTATCACAATGTTGCTAATATCCAGATTTAGTTTCTTTGTTTTTGGGTAATAACATTGCAATCAGTCTTTTTTAGGAGACGCACACACTTTTTTTAGTATTATTATTTAGGGTTACCTAAATTGTTTGGGATTATTCTAGTCTATGAACCATTAATGTTGATTTTGTTTATTTAGTTTAGATAAAAAAAGTTTAAAATAATTTTAAAAGGAATGTTATCGTATTTCATTATCAAATAACATCAGTTTCTATAGCAGGTTAGCACTACTATATGAAATGAAAAATTAACAGGTACCATCAATTTTTGTACTGTTGAAAATTTTTCTTATAGTTTCTTCACAAAAATATCAATTCAAACTGTGGCAACACTTAATACTAAAAACTAATACTAAAAACAGATTTAATTTTGTATTTTAGACAAAAATAGTTTCACAAAAACATCAACTCAAACTGTAGCAACTGTAACTGTAACATCAACTGTAACTGTAACATCAACTCAAACTGTAGCAACTGTAACAGATTAGGCTAAAATTTAAAAAATCTTTAAATATTTGATATAACAAACATTAAACTAACAAGGTAAGAAACAAAAAAATATTCGTTTGAGAATAATTTTTCGAATATATTATTAAACAATCATTTTTTCATTTCAAGAACATTTGGAAATTTCATAATGTCATGAAAACAATTATGCTGATTATACATACAAAACTCCAAGTATCAATAGGATGCAGTGCATCATTTATCAAAGATATAAATGTACAAATTATCATCAAATTTGGTAAAAACTTATTTTGATTATAATTTATTATTGTCTCTGAAGTGCATAGCAATTAATGAAGCAATAATTGTTGAATACATTCCCTCTGGTTTAATTACTGCGTCAATATGCAATCAACAATCCTAATTTAATTGTTTTATCAATCTAGATGCAGTGGCGGCTTCATCTTGTTTAAAGCTGTAATTTCTTTCCTTTTTAATATGTATTTCAAAAATAACTTTTATTAATGTAAGGATTGACAGGTTGTTTTTTAGTGGTGACAAGCAATGGCATTTTACTAATATAGGTATTGCCAAAGAAAAATGAACTTAACTGATAGGTTAAAGTTGGAGCTGTTTATTTGTTTATGTAAGTTTTCAACTTCTCTTAAAAAACATATTAGACTGTATTTAGGATTTATTTCTTCATTGTTTTTTCTGACTTTTTCCTAACCATAAGCGTTAAAATGTTTCCATCAGATAGTTGGCTTGAAATAATAAAAAAAAAAAACTTTTAAATACAATTAAATAAAATAAGGGAATTATATTGGATAAGAGTAAAGTTTTTATTTTATTTACTATTTACTATTATTTTTAAAGATTTTATAATCTAGCTGACCATTTATTCATTATTAGTAACGAAGAAGGCATAAACTTTCTGGCTTAATGCTATTCTGCAGTGCTCTGTAATAAGATCATTAGGACAATTTGGAGCACTAATTTTTTAAATTTAACTGCTGTTTCTAACATGTTTGAAGCAAATCAGATACTTATTTCTAAAATGACAAAAGTTATAACATAAAATTAATATTATTTTAAATTTTCTATAAATTATCAAAAAACATCGAGGTTTGAACTTCTTTTATTTAATAAAGTAGTGCATTTATAAACACTATAAAAATTATATATCTGTGTTTATAAATATATAAATTGAATTAATAAGCCTGAATACAAACGTTCCCAATCAGTTAAATCAATTAAGAAGTATATAAAGTTATTTTTTAATGTTCCTTGATGTAAAAAAGTTTTGTATCAATGACATTATATTACTAATATTCTTAAATTTTGTTTAGATAATGATTATCTGCAAAATACTCTGCTTTTCCCAAAAGGTTTAAAAATGATTTTTTTTTTTTAATTTAATCATTTACTTTGTAGTAGTAGTAGTAAATGATGATGCATAATGATATGTATATGATTTTGTAACTATACTATATAATATTTACATTTACTCATAGAGTTAGTGGTTACATAAAATAGTTATATGATTGTAATGCTTATTTTGTATATATAGTTTTATTCTTATTATATTAAAGTATATGCCGTAAATTTTAGAACTTATTTGATATAAATTATTAAAGTCTATCAAAGTAAGTATTTTGCATTTCACATAGATTCTGTTGTAGTGCTTGATGAATATATATTGAAAAAAGATAATCTAATTGCGACATTACCATCGCTCGAAAAAACATATTTAGTGTCGTTCAAAATAAAACCCAATTTGTTTTCACCAGGATACAAAAACATTATTCATTTGACTACCGGTGGAGATGCAAGTGATTATGGATTTAGAATTCCTAGTGTATATTTGTATGACACTGGAAAACTTTCTATTTGGTATGCAACAAATTGGTATTCTACTAGCGAATACATTGTACCTCAATCGCTATCTCTAAATGAATGGACCAGCATTAGAATATCTCAAGATCGATATAACAGTATATACTTCTTTAGAATTTATATAAATGGGACGCTAATGATTGACATTAAAAACTCATTTCCATATTCATTTAAAAATGTTAAAGTGTATTGTGCAGATCCTTGGTATGAAACTCAACCTGCTAGTATTAAAGATCTAAGAATATATAGTGGAAATGTTGGTAAGATAGTAATTTATTTTTTACAAATTCTGCGTTTGATTGTTTACATGCAGTATATTATATATATATATATATATATATATATATATATATATATATATATATATATATATATAATACATATATATATATATATATATATATATATATATATATATATATATATATATATATATATATATATATATATATATATATATATATATATATATATATATATATATTTATATATATATATATATATATAATTCTGAATTTACAATAGTTTCTTAAGTATAACTTATAATTATTAATACGCAATAGTCTAAATCTATACAAATATGGTTATACATATGCATGTTTTTACTTATATATGTATGTATATGATAATATAAATATATATATAAATGTATATAAATATCTATATATATATAAAATGTATCTGCATATATTGTATGTATGATACTGCTAGAAGTTAACCATCTTTTGACAGTAGTTCAGCATTTTTTCGGTAGAAGCTGAAAAGTAAACGCTTTAACATTTGATAATTTTGGCTTCACACTCAGTAACACCATCATTTGGCTTTCTAAATTTTTCTACACAATTTTTTGGACAACCTTAAAGTGCATATTGATGTACCTAGTGCAATCATATTCTTATAATTTTCGTTTATTTATTAATTAATTAACAATTCAGATTAGTGTAATTGTAAGATACATTTGTGTAACAAGATTCAGTGATCATATAGATGCAAGTAAGATGCAAGACGTATTTGTTTATCTAGAATATTATGATATTATTGTTTTCCTTTGAGTCATGCATTTCAGAAAAATTAGTATTTTAATTGAAGTCGTAAAGAACATAACTAAAGAAAAGTTTAAAATTTGTATATATTTACTTTTGGTTTTTTGTAAAACCTAAATTTAGTTTAAAACTCTTCAACAGCGGTTCTCTGTTAAAAGACCTGTATGGTCTTCTCTGAGTGTTCGCATTCTTAATCTTTATTCTTTATTTTTTAACAATTCCTTTGCATGTAATTTTCCTTTATTGATATATGTGTAGTAAATTTATTTTATATGAAGAACAAAAACATATGTTTATATATTCATTGCCTTTGTTGCATGTTTTTTTGTACCATATAGATATACAAAGCCTTCTATAATTTATTAGAGTGATCACTTTAATGTAAATTAATTATTTATAAAATAGATTGTCAATTATAAATATAAATTTATTGAAATGAAAAATTACAACTTTTTAATTGAACTTTGCCATGTCAATATGGCAATTATCAGCAATATATATATATATATATATATATATATATATATATATATATATATATATATATATATATATATATATATATATATATATATATATACATATATATATATATATATATATATATATATATATATACATATATATATATATATATATATATATATATATATATATATATATATATATATATATATATATATATATATATATATATATATATATATATATATATATATATATATATATATATATACAGTATCAGACAAACAAATGCAACCAAATAATGCTAATTTAGTTTTTTTATATAAAAGTGCTGCTTTTTTTCAATTTAGAGAAATAACTATGTAACTGTTTAGAGACAATTTTCTTCAAGTATTATTTATCACAAAGTTCATTATTTGTACACGAAAATAATATATTAATCAAAAGTATTAAAAAAAGTTGATTTTCTTCTGGACAAAACAAGTGCAACTCCACAAAATGTTGACCAAGTTGTATTTCACTATCAATTTTTTTTGGCGAATCCTTTGTTTTCGATCACAGCCTTGCATCTCTGAGGCATAGATTCGATCAGATAACTAATGAAACTTTGTGGAGTCGCTGCTGTGTAGGTTTTTTGGTTTTGTTCAAACAGTTGATCCTTATTACAAACACCTTCACGATTAATTCTGCGGTTGTTGATCTCTCACATGTTATTGATAGGGTTGAGATCCTGAGATTGAGGCAGCCAATCCATCACCCATAGGTGGTTGTCTTGAAACCACTGCATGACTACTTTTGCAGTTTGTTTGGATCGTTGTCTTGCTGAAAATTCCTTTTTATTGGCATATTCCATTCCACATGAGGTAACATAACATCTTTTAGGATATTTTTATACATGAAACGATCCATTATTCCATCGATTCGATGTATTGGACCCAGACCGTTAGCAGTATAATACCCCTAGACCATTACATTGTTTCCACCATGCTTCATGGTTTTATGGCAGTATTGTAAATCAAGGCATTTTCCGACCGGACGGCGTACACAGCAAATGCCATCGGTCCCAATGATGTTGAACTTGGATTTATCTTTGAACAGAACAGTTCGCCATTTCTGCACATTCCAGTCAATATGAGATGTAGCAAACAGGAGTCTTTTCTTCTGGTTCTTTAGTGGAATCAGCAGTTTCTTTGCAGGGCGTCAATAAAACAATCCGGCTTCAACAGCACGTGATCTGATTGTTCGTTCTGATATAGGCAGCTCTAATTGCTTTTGTATCTCGACTAATGATATTCAGAGATCCTTCATGGTGGATCTGATAATCATAGAATACTCTATAGAAGTGGTTAAACGTGGTCTTCCACTTTTGTTATCTGCTGCCAACATCCCTGTGGAACGATGTTTAGAACATAGTGTTGATACGGTCCATTTTTTCACGCAATTTTTATCACAAATACTTTTATGTGACATTCCACTTATCGCGACATTCCACGTAATCGCCAATTTTGTGACATTTTATGTGACATTCCACTTTTATATGACATTCCACTTATGTGACATTCCACGTAATCGCCAATAATTTTCTTTCTTAGTTCTGATTTAAGACTGCCGGGAGCCTTTTTTGCACTTGAAGTCATAAAAATAATAAAAAACATTAATCATGCTTCTCAAGGCTTACGGTGTTAAATTTACCTTATTATGATACAATAATGTTCTGCGGAACACAACGTCTTGGTTGAATGTTGATTGTATTGATGTAATAAAACACTTGTATTATTTCACATCTTGTATTGAAGTTCTTCAATAAAATATTTTGATAAAACTCACTTTGATAAACTGTCTTGATAAGACTGACTGACTGACTTCCTAGTACTTACTGAATTACATGTCAGTTTACATGTCTCTTATATAGTAAAATGAACATGTGTGAACTTGTTCTGGAAGATTTTAGATGCTTCTTTTTTAGGCTATTAGATGTTTCTGGATGCGTTTTGATGCTTCAGAATGTATCTGGATACTTCTGGATACTTCTGGATGCTTCTGGATGCTTATGGATGCTTCCAGATCCTTCTTCTAGAAACTTCTTGAAGCTTCTGCATGCTTTTGGAAACTTCTGGATACTTCCTTTAGTTATTAAAAACTTCTGTGACGTTGACACGAACCAGACTTAAGAATATGAAACAAACCAAAAAAGTTGCACTTGTTTTGTCTGCTGCCAAATGGCACTTGTCAACGAAATTCTGCCTGTGTGCTGTCACCTGTCAGCTGATTGCTCATGTCATGGCATGCAATGACTCTAGACTCTTGAACTGTTTGCTGTGGTAGTATAGTTCATTTCGTGAACATGCAAAATTAGGCACTTTTTAGCATTGCTCAATGTTGGTTGCAAATGTTTTTTCCATTACTGTATATGGCAGATGATTTCCAAAATTGCATAAAACTTTATGTTCCATTATAAAGTTGTAGGTTTTCATTTAGTTAAATATATATACAAATATATAAATATATAAATATATATAGATATATATATAAATATATATAAATATATATATATATATATATATATATATATATATATATATATATATATATATATATATATATATATATACAAAAGCTTATTTATACAAACTTTCAAAATAATGTGTATATATATAATTATATATTTTTGTTTGCATGTGTATATGCATATATATACATTTATATATATATATATATATATATATATATATATATATATATATATATATATATATATATATATATATATATATATATATATATATATATATATATATATTTATATATATATATATATGTAAATATGTATATAAATATATATATATATATATATATATATATATATATATATATATGAATATATATATATATATATATATATATATATATATATATATATATTTATCAATATATATATTTATCAATATATATATGTTAATATACATACAATCATATATATTATTTTGATATCGGATATCTTAGGGATAAGGACAAATATACTGAAAAGGTTTGTTAAAAATGCAAGTTTTTAATGGTAACATACTTGAATATCAAACATTTATTAATATGTTGTTGCGACTTGACAAAAAGATTTTTATTCAATTGCTCTCTTGAGATTCAACTACTCTCTTAAAATCTTTATTTTTTAAGTATATTAAAATATTCCCATTACTTTTATTGTGTGGGTTACTGAATAATTTTTTTAAGTAAATACAATAGAAATGGCAGTATTAGTAAAGTTACTAATAATTATTTTTAATTTTTAGTATTTTAATCAGTAAATAGCTTTTAGGCATAATGGTTAAACGGAACAGTGGCTAGGAAGGGCTAAGAACTCTCATTATCCATTCCTAAACTATGTTCAAGTAGTTTAAAATACAACTCATTTTGTTTTCTTATTTTGTTTGAAACCTTAACATTACATAACATAAGTTTTTGATTTTCGATTTCCACCCACTACTTTATTCTACTTGGTTATAATGGTACTAATATTTTTCACTTTTTATGCCCATTCTTTATTAGATTTTTTTTATTTGTTACATTAACAATATTCATAAATCTTGATGTGACTCTTGTGGTTATCAGTTTTTAATTTGATGTCTAGTGTTTAGACCTGAAATAGTTTCATATGGCCAATTTTGTAAAAAATTAATAACGCCTATTTTGTATATAGTTGCATATTGACATTATTGCATGGTATTTTATCTATCTGCATCATAAACTTGAGATTTAGAGTTCAAACCACAAAGGGTGTGCATCATCTATTTTTAATTTTATATTGTCCAAACTATCATTTGTTTTCATATACACTTTTTTTATCTACTCGTTTTACTGTTTTATATTGCAAGGTTCCTTTTAACGGTTAGATATCGTAAACCTCAGGACGTCCAGCTAAAACCTCAGATGATTTTAATATGCAATATTCATCAATTGATGAGTTTCATTGCTTCAGCAAACTTGTCATTTTTTTTTCACTTTTTTCATTTAGTTTTCGTATACTTATTTTTTGATTTCAGAAAATCATATGGTAGACAAATCAAACATAAAATCATTTTTTTGCATTTTAATTGTAAATCCTTTTTAACCATTTACATAAAGTTCATTAACTTACTCTTTAGTCAACATAAACATATTATGTATGTAATATTTACTCCATTTAAACAAAATGTTAAGCCATAAAAAACCAATTTAAGAACCAATTTTTTTGTTGATTTTATACATTAATTATTAAACTCAATGGTAATGAAATAATATTTCAATGAAGTAACTTTTAGTGGTATTAAAATAACATTCAAAATCTTAAATTTTTTTTATTCTATTAAGATAATGATCCCATGAAAGTTTCAAAATTCAATTTAGCTAGAGAGCTATATTTTAGCTATTAATTTTTTGTTTTCTGCTTATGTTTTGTCATCATCACTTATAGTTAACAAATTTTGAACAATAAACAATAAACACTTTTAGTACAAAATTGTTTTAATTTTTTAACTTTAAGTTTTGGAGGAATAAATCTAATCATTATTAAATTTTAGAGCAACTGATAGAAGATAAAGAAACACTTTTGTTTCAAAACAAACTGGTGGCGATTGTTCCTATATTGGACAAAACTTATAAAATTTTTTTTGATGTGAAACCAAACTTGTATTCTGAGGGTTGGCACAATGTAATTCTATTTAACATTAATTCTGATGCAAATGTCTTTGATGATAGAGTTCCAGGAGTGTGGTTTCATAACAGTGGTGATGGCAGTCTTTCAATCACTGTTCCTCGAAATGGAAATATTAACAATTCCTTTAAAACAGCTCCTATTCCTTTTAACATGTGGTCACACATTGAAATAAGTCAACAGTTAGAATATAGTGCGTATGTGTATACAATAAAATTGAATGGAGAAAAGGTTTTTTCAATAGAAAATATTCTTCCTGAGTCCTATGCAAATGTTCGTGTTTATGCTGCAGATCAATCTTATCAAGCTCAAGATGGTTTTATAAAAGATTTTGCAATAATAAACGGAAAAGCAGGTATTTATAAAGAATCTAAAACTGTTACTTCTTTGATAAATGCTTTATATATTTATATTTAAATAAGAATTTAGCTGTTTTGCTTGATGGCCAGAACCAGATATTGCTTTACTAATAAAGCTTATTTGTTTTGGGACTCCTTTTTTAATGAGATCATCACATCAGGCATTTACAATATTTAGAATAGTGTTTTTTAAATATATTTTTAATGGTTTTTGCGGAGAAATAGTCTTGAGTAAATGTTCTTAGTAGAGTTTAGCAGATCGATTTGGCAATGTTTTTAAACTTAATATCAATAAACTTTGTAGCTTTTGATTTTTTGATTTGTCTTAAATCATTCGGGTTAAATAATTTCTAAGTTCATATACTTAGTTAGCAAACTTTAATATCAGATATCTAATATCAGATATTTAATATCTAATATCAGATTTAAAGTTATTGAATTTTGTTAGTGGCAAAAGTAAGATTGAATTTTTTGGTACCAGGTCGTAAACATGTCATATTTGATGTTTCTCAAATCTATTTACTTGTATTCAGTAAAACAAATATTTAATCTTTAATTTGAGATCTGATTTTTGTTTACTTTGAGAATTTAATTTATTGGGTGTTATGTGGTAACTTAATAAAATAAAATCTCTTCCAGGTTACTATTTTTTTGAAAACATTTCATATTTAGACTCACTTTCAACTTCTGTTAATTTTTAATTTTTTTTATCAGAAACAAACTTTAAATCAGAAATGAGTTTGTAGTTTTTTTTTTAATGATTCGATAGGTGAATGTGATTTTTTCAGATTTATTGAATTATTGATGATATGAAAGTACCAGCATAAGCTTATTTATTGCTTTCTTATCTTTAGTATACTCTATTATATACTAGTATTTTTAGAAAAACAGTTTTCTTTTGTGTTAGCAAAATATCTGAGATAAAAAGTTGGTAATAAACAGGTTGAATATTGTAGATTGTTGCAGTAATGAAACCAGGGGGTATGTATTCAAAATTTATTGTATAGTTTATTTTATTTCGTACCAAACTGCAGATCCAAGCACTTTAGAGACATTAGAAAAGTGAAATAAGTTTTAAAAAATTTGATCATAAATGGTACATTTACATCTTTGATGAATGGTGCACCGCAACCTTTTGATACTTGGAGTTTTGTATTTATAATCAGTATGATTGTTTGCATGACATCATTGAATTTCCCAATGTTCTTGTAAGTTTCTTTGAAACACTTATTTTTGTTTCTTAACATATTAGTTTTATGTTTGCTATATCAGTTATTTAAATATTTTTACAGTTGCTACAGTTAGAGTTGATGTTTTTGTGAAACTATTTTTGTCTGAAATAGAAAATCTGTTTTTAATTCAGGTTTTTTATTCAGTGGTGTTACAGTTTGTTTTTTGTAAAATAACTATAAGAAAAGTCTAATTTTTAATAGTAGAAAAGTTGATGGTAACTGTTACTTTTTTCATTTCATATAGTAGTGCTAACCTGCTGTAGAAACTATGATGTTATTCGATAATGAACTTATATTCTTTTTAAAATTATTTAAGTTTAAACTATATGCATAAAATAAACATTAATGGTTTATTACTTAGAATAATGCCAAAACAATTAAGGTCATCTTAAATAGTTATCTTAGAAAAGTCCGTGTGTCTCTTAAGAAAGACTGGTTGCAATGTTTTTACCCAAAAACTAAGATTCTAAATTAGGATATTGGCAACCTAGTGATGACTAACCCTTGGTGTATACATCTCTCAAATTAAGTTTGTCGCGATTGCTTTTAACATGTTCACAATTCGTTTTTTTTTTTTGTTCAAATATTTTCACGAGTTGTTTTTTGTTTTTTTGTTTTTTTTTTGGTTTTGTTTCTTTTCTAATTTTACATTATTTAGCCTTTCTTAAAACTAATATTTTTGTCTAAATTTTTTATTTGGGGTCATTTTTTTTTATTTATTTATTAAATAGAATTATGATTACTAGCTCTCTTGCAGTAGGATTTCTATTCAACATAAAGCATTTTTGAATTTTATTTACTTTCTATCTCTGTGTGGAAGCCAATAATTTTTTAAAATTAAATTTAGTTTCATTAATTGAATGGATAATATATGAAGCTGTAAATTAACCTTTCAATTAAATTAAAATAACCAGGCAGGTTACTAGAGTAACTTACAGTTACTCTTCTAATAAATATACTAAATATACCCAAAGACTTGCAAAATTTAGCTATACAAATTTCACTATGTTTATCTTTTATGTTGTTTACATATAATGTAAGCTCTAAACTTAAAATTATTGTAACAAAAAATTTTGAATAAAATATGGAAATCACGGTACCATTTTCTTATATTTTTATTTTGTTAAAAAGGATATCAAGAATAAACATTTTCCATAAATACACAAGTTGTTTTTTAGAATTTTTTTTTTAGAAACATATTTACTTTTTAGTTAATAACCTAATAGTTATTTAAATTTCTCTTTTTCAAATAATTCTACATTTAAAATTTGAAATCGGAAAAATTTAAAAGAATTCGAACTCACAATAACTTTCTTTCAGCCTCTTTAGTAATACACAGTTGCATAACAAGGGTCATTCCTCAAATATTAACATATATTAAGCTACAGTAAATCGGATTTAAAACAGTGCAAGTGAGGAAGAAAGTTTAATTCGTAAATATTTTGAAAAGGTAATTATTAGTTTTTCTTTAAAATGGTTTTAACATAGGAAACAATCTATAAGAAACCTTAAACCAGTAAGTATTTCAAACTTTAAACCAAAAATTAAATTATAGATAATCAAATTAAAAAAACAGTTATTTTACTTTTGTTTATGGAAACCTTTTTCCTTAAAAAGTAACTTAATCATGTATATTCAATCTTAAGAAAATATAGTTAGATTAATCAGACCAAGTTTTCACTTAAATTGCAAAATATTTTGTATGAAAAAGTTGAATGAAAACATTAACTTAAAAACCATTTGAATAAAAAATATAATTATACTTTAACTTTTAATTGTGTGCTAGATCAAGAAACAATAAAGTATAAAATATGTGGTATATAATGCTTTTTTTGATTTGATCTTTCTTGTTTGTAACGTGTAAAACTTGATTGTAAAGGTGAAAGAGTGATGATAATGTTTTAGTTTTTGTTATTTACTTTATAAAACTGTATAAAACAGCGTCACAAGGTTGTTCAACATTAACACATTGTCTTTGTTAAAGTTTTAACAAAGACAATGTGTTAATGTTTTAGTTTGTTTTATTGTTGTTTTATAGTTTTTTACAGTTATTTGAAATTTGAACATATCTTTTTCCTTTAAAATTAACATGTGTTTTATCATCAGCATACACGTATTAAATAGTTTTCTATAACTATTTAAAGCGGTGTATATATAGTAATATTTGCATTTTTGCTTTTATTCTTTTAAGTAACGTGTTAAGTGAAAACAATTGATAAAAGTTAATATCATAATAGTATTGAATACATTACTTGCTCAATACTATTTTTACTTGCTTATTACACTTTAACATAAACTTTGAATTATAACTTAAAATGTAAGTTATCAAAGAAACATACAATATTTTACTATAAAATAAAGTTATAAGCAAGTTTTTAAATATGATAGAAGTTATGCTAAAAAAACAATAATTACAAACTAATGCAGAAAAGATAAAGTTTCACAGTAGCACCACTTCTCCTTTACCACCAAGCAGTGCGAAGGAGAGGAAGGATAATGTTTTTTTTTTTTTTTTGTGATTATATTTTGTCACCAAAATTTATATATATATATATATATATATATATATATATATATATATATATATATATATATATATATATATATATATATATATATATATATGTATGTATATATATATATATGTATATATATATATATATTTGAGAAATTTAGTAACATCAAATGTGAACAATTTTTTGAGATACAACACAATATTTTTTTGTTTTAATATGTTTCTCAGCTAAAAAACTTCGTTTTCAAAAGATAAATTTATAATTTAATACTCTGAATATAAACATAAAATCAAATTTAACAGACATTTTATGTTTAAAGCAAAACAAAGTTTATGTATAAAAGATTCACTTCCTACGCTGCTCAAGTTCAATATTATTTACAAATTTTATAATGCTGGATGTAATGCCAGTTACTTTGGCGAAACCTCCAGGCACTTAACAACAAGGATTCACAAACATGTATATATATGTGTGTGTGTGTGTGTGTGTGTGTGTGTGTGTGTGTATGTGTGTGTGTGTGTGTGTTTGTATACATATATATATATATATATATATATATATATATATATATATATATATATATATATATATATATATATATATTTAAGCAATTTAGAATCATCAAATGTGAACAAGCTTTTGAGATAAAACACAACCTTTTTCAGTTTTAATATGTTTCTCAGTTAAAAAACTTCATTTTCAAAAGATGGATGTAATGCCAGTTACTTTGGCGAAACCTCCATACACTTAATAACAAGTATTCACACACATGTATATATATATATATATATATATATATATATATATATATATATATATATATATATATATATATATATATATATATATATATATATATATATATATATATATATATATATGTGTGTGTGTGTGTGTGTGTTTATATATATATATATATATATATATATATATATATATATATATATATATATATATATATATATATATATATATATATATATATATATATGTATGTATGTATGTATGTATATATATAATAGGGGCGTGGTTGCCCCAGAGGCTATGTGGGATTCCTGCATGGGTTTTTTTACTTTTTTATTTAAATATGTGCGTTTTTAGGACTTTTAAATCCAAGTAAAGGCTATTTAGCAGTTTTTACTTTTTTTGACATTTTGAAAAAAGTCTATTTATTTTTGAAATAAAAAACAACTATATAGCATTTTCAGAAAAATATGAAATACTTTTTAATTAATTAACTACTAAACA